TAGACGGGATTTGCTGGGTTCTGGGCCTGGGAGGCTGGGTCAGAGCAGGCTTTGTGGGGCCCGGCAGCTGTGTTTGTGGCCTGAGTCACATGCAACCCTGTAATTGCCACCGAACCCCAGGCTGGCTAATTACAGGGTGACAGGAGTGCAGTGGCCAGTTTCGCGTGTAACCAGTTTGTAGGACTTGTTCCCTCCAAGTAATGAAGGGGTCTCGTGGCTGTGGGAGCTGGGAGGTTTTCCGATTACAGGCTGAGGTTTCTCTGCAGAGAGCACAAGAAGGCGGCGTCAGGCAGGCATGTCCTAGTGGACACAGCTCCTGGGGCAGCAGCTCCTGGGCTGTGTAGGAAGGGGGTGTCAGGCGGGTGCGTCCTGGTAGCTCCCTGGGCTGCTGGGCCGCGCTGGGCCTCAGCCTCTCCTTACTGCGGGACCATCGCTGTACCCAGAGTCTCCCATGCTGTTCTGGGTGCCCCCCGGTTTCTTTGTGAGGGACCTGCTCAGGGCCACCCTTTCTGCAGAACAAGGATGTGTGTGGAAGAGCCCGTCTGCTCTGGTGGCTTTCCCTGGCATCCAGCTGGACTCCCCACCTGCCTCCTGTAGGTAGGTATGTGTGCCGTCCACATGACAGGCTCGAGCTGGTTAGAGAGTCATGATCGTCCCTCCCCTCTTGGTCCTGGCTGGACACTGTGGAGTGACCCTGATTCTTGGTGACTGTCTAAACAACAGAATGCGACCCTGCTGGCCGTGGTCCTTGCTCTGTCCACTGTGGGGGCACTGGTGCCGTCTATTAGAGGGCTCCCTTCACTTTCCAGGTTGTGCTCACAACTTTGACATCTCTCAATTTTTCATCTCCACCCATGTCCCATGCTTGTCTCCTCAGTAGTTCTTGGACCCTCTAAATTAATCTTCATTATTTTGCATTTTGATTATTATCCATCTGATAATTCTGTTCTGCTGCTTTAAAATTTCTCCGCTCTGTTTTCTGAGTCACTAATTCTTTCTCTGGGAGCTTTGGTGGCCCAATGGTAAGAAGTTTTGTTGCAATCCCTAACACCAGTTTGAATCCACCAGTTGCTCCATTTATTGCTTCTAAAAACTTGCTGGAGAGTCAGCTATGAGTAGGTTCCAACTTAATGGCACATGACAATTCTTTCTCTGGCTCTCTGATCTGTTTCACTTGGCCATTACATTCTGAATGTCAAGTGCTGGTGTGTTTTTGTTTTAATATCTAGCAACACCCTGTAGTTCTCTAAGACTGTCTACTTCTTCTATAGAGTTCTATCATTTTATCTATTTTTTTTTTATGTATATAATCTACTTTGGAAGAAGTTAAGCCAGAAAAACTCTTTTGAATTGAGGGTGGCAAGACTTTTTTTCTCATATACTGAGGACATGTTCTCAGGAGGCACCATCCCTGGAGAAGGATGCCAGGCCTGGTAAGGTCAGAAGAGGAGGAAACCCACAGTCAGATGGGCTAGCACAGAGCAGAGATTTGTGGGGATGGCTCAGGCCAGGGAGTGTTTTGTCTGTTGAGGCACTGAGTTGCTGTGATGTTAGCCTTTTTTAGTCATTACAGTTAGCTCCCCCAGGTCTATAGCTACCTTAATTGCAGACGCATGGTCTTACAAATCAGCATGCTCTTGCAAATCATAAACTGCTATGGGAGTACGATAAAAAAAAGAGTGCTTCCCACACTGAGTAGCAAGACTTGTGGGAGTAAGACTTGAGGCGAGCAACACCCTAGTGAGAGCGAGACCCTGTTTATGGCTTTGCTGTGGAGAAACTGTGACAGGTCATGACCTGAGGCTTCCTGCATTTGTGCTGCCCACTGTTAAAGGTTGTTGCTGTTCTTCTGAGATGCTCAAAGGAGAAGGTGACTTATAACTGCTCTGGGGCAAACCTTGCTGGATGATTAGGATTTGACTGCTGAACTGAAACCAGAGCCTGGACTTATTGAGGAATTGAGCTTTGGAACTGCTGGCCTAAAGCCTAGACTTATTTTGGGTGATATTTTTTGCCTTCCCCACTTTTCAACTTTCTTCCGTAATAAACTCCGTTGTCACAACGCGACTCTGTGAGTTAACAATGAATAAACAAACCTCCTGTTGCTTGTTGGTCTCTCCAGGCTCCGTGGGGCTAGGCTATGGGCTCTTTATTTGCTTTCTGCTCTGGGTGGTGAAGGGCTGTGTTATTCTTACTCCCTCTGGCCCTTTCAGAGAGATGCTCATGGTTGTGCAACCCTCTGGTCCGTTTTCTCCTACTAGACAGTTGCTATCGGCCAGAACCAGCTTATACACACATAAAAACTATGATAGCTTTAAGCCTACACGGTTAAGTATCTGAATAAATACCTGAATCTCCTGGTGGGCGCGTGAGCCTGAGCCTGTGAGGACTGTGGCTGGGAGCAGGGAGTGTGTGGTGCCAGCGTTTCGGCCCGGGGGGACAGTGTAAAAGCGGACAGATGAAGCTCTGTGGATTGGAGGCTCCATCAGTCTCCCGAGGAACAAGGGCCTAAGCCCAGCATCACGTACTGTGGAGGGGTGCCTTGGGGCCCCGGGGCGCTCAGTGTCGCCTGTGTAACGTGTTTCCAGAATCTCAGCCTTAATGGAGCCTGGCCTTCAGCCTCCACAGCAGTACTGTGTACAGATCCAGAGGAGACCGACCAGACCAGTTCTATGGCAGCTTCCGTCTTCAGAGAAAACATCATAAAAGAGACAGAGAGACCAAAATGTCCCCATAAGATATGACATGGATCCTGGTTTTTGAAAATAAAATATAGATGACAATCAAGGTCTGGACACGGACCAAACGTTGAGTGACTTGGGAACAGGATGTGCTCTTCAGGGCAGTGTCATAGCCCGTGGGAGTGCACACTGGACATGCCTGTGTGTGTATGCAACATGGGTGTATTGACATCTGGCTGGAGTGGACAGGGAAGGATGCCACACATGTGAGTCTGTGCTGGACAGTATCTACCTGCTTCAGGAATGAACACTGGATGCGGCTGGGGGTGTGTATGTAGAATGTGAGGTCTGACTGGATCTGACAGGAAAAGCTGTCACACACCTGAATCTGGGTGTGCAGGAGGAAGGTATGACCACTGGGCCATCCTCTCAACCTCTGAGTGTCTGAGCTTTTCCATAAGAAGCAGCAAAAGAGAGCAGTGGCAAGAAGCTGCACTGCAATCCCAGAGGCATATGGTTCAAATCCACCAGATGATCTGCTGAAGAAGGAGGGGCAATCTCCTCCTATACTAGTCAGATCTGATTTGATGGTATACACGCAAAAAATAATAAAATTTTAAAAAAAAAAAGAAGTGGCCAGAGAGAGGTCTTGGATTTGGGACATCGGCAAGGGGAAAAGTTTGGGGAGCTGGGCAGCATTAGCCGAAAAAGCTCTGAGGAGTGGGAGGACATTAAAGGGCCTTGGGTGGGAGCGTGGGGGAGCACTGTCCAGTCAGCCAGTCCTAACTTGGTGACACCGTGAAGACAAAGGAACCGCCCACTTCTGGCTTAGTAGCTCAGTGCTTAACCACCGCACCACCAGGGCTGCCCTGGGTGGGGCAGTGCTGCCTAGAAGCCAGGGGGAAAGACAGACCTGGGGGCCCAGTGCTGGTGAGGACACGGCCCAGCCGCGTTCTCATTTCAGGTGGGCCACAGACCCCCGCCGGCACCTGGGCTTGTCATGGGAACAGCCAGCTTGATGCCTGTTTAGTGGCTTTGGCTTTGGAAAGGCTTCGTCAGGAGTCAGATGGTTAAGCTCTTAACTATGAGCAGAGAGGACGGTGGTTCAGATCCAGCTGGAGGCACCTGGAACGAAGGTCAGGTGACCTGCTTCTCTGAAAGGTTACAGTCACAAGAACCCCAGCGTGCTTCTTGCTGTCCTTGGCTGCTGACAGCAGTGACCAAGACTCCTCCAAAACAACTGCACTGGGAGAAGCGTGGGCTCCCACGTGTGCAGCAGATGGCCCTGGCCCTGGATGGCTGGGATGAGTCAACCAGAACCCAGCCGGATGAAGAGAAGACGCTCCATGCCGTGAACGCGCATCGACTGCTGCTCCTGCTGGCTCGCTCGGGACTTGGACTTGACTTGTGGACGCAGAAGCTCAACGTTTCCAAGTTCAACAGAAGATTCTTCAGCAAAGGGCCATTCTTGTTCCTCAGTGCACTGGTTCGATAGGCACAGACAAGTTAGCAATCGGCCATCTGAAAGGGGGATGTTAGGGCATCAAGGCGGGAAGTTTTCATGAACATATTTGTTGGTGGTATGATTGTAAGGGAGGAAAAAACCCACCACAGTGTAAATGAATGAAACAGAATGTAATTGAAAGACTGTGTGGAACACAATGTACATACATGAAACATAACACATATGAATGATACAAATAAGAATATAAAACCCACAACTGCCGGGCGTTGATCCCAGCTCTAGACCAGGGTAGAACTATGCAGAGGGTTTCCAACGCCGCCGTCTTTATGGAAGGTGACTTTGGATGGTCCCGCTGGCCTAGAAGGCACCACAGAGAAGGAGCAGTGGCGACACTTTGACCTCATTTCAGAAGTAGCTCCTGGGGCAGCAGACCCCCTGGTGTCTGAGGAGGGAACCCCACACCTCATGCCCTCAGCTGCTCACACCTACCAGCTACGGGCAGTGGAGTCCAGTCCTGAGTGTGAAGTCTTGGCCTTGGACAAGTTGTGGTGGTGTCCACCACCCGTTCCGGGCATGCCTTGAGTGCGGCTGTCAGGAAACAGTGCCCCTTCTCATGCTGACCATTTAGAGTGTTCCAGAATGTTCCAAGCATCCCGTCCGGCCTCTTACTCTTCCTCTTTTTCAGTGAGAAACGTAACAGTGGAGGGTTGAGGGCAGGAGGCAGGAAGGTCAAGTGCCCCTGGGCCCTCCTCAAGTCCTTCTCATGGGAAACTGAGGGCCCAGTGCTGTCCCTCCCCCAGGGTCCTGGCTGTGGCCTGAGTTGGATGGACACCCAACACCGAGGTCTGGGGCTCTCAGCAGGAGCAGCGGGCCTGCGGGTTCGGGCCCTGGGCCAGGAGGATGGGGCTGGAGTCCAGCGCCAGGCCCCCGAGGCTGGGCACCGGGCACAGGTGTGGGCTGTGGCGAGCCATGAGCTCCTTGGCCATAAGCAGGAAGACCTCGTTGATGTTCCGGGACTCCTTGGCCGACGTCTCCAGCACCGCCAGGAGTCCGTGCTTCTCGGCCAGTGTGCAGGCCTCCTCAAAGAGGACACGCCGCTGGTCCCACAGGTCAGCCTTGTTTCCTGGAAGGAGCGAGGGGGGGACAGGTCAGTATGTGCAGAGGCTAGCCTGTGAAGGAGGCTGAGGGGCTGGGATTAGGGGATGGGACATGCCTGTTTCGAGGAAAGCGGAACAGTGTGTCTCCCAAGAGCAGAGATCCTGGGTGGCCTTTCCGTCTGGGGCTCTGGGAAAGACCAGTCCTTTTCCTCCAGCACATTTAAGGGGGCAGTGGACATGGCCACATGGCACCCACAAGTCCTGACAGTGTGTCCTTATCGCTTGAGGTTCAGGGCAGAGTCGGCTGTGGGCTTGTGTGAGGGTTACCCCACCACTCACCATCCCCTGAGCTTCTCCTGGAAGCTGGGCACATCACTCACAGGGGACAGACACACGGCCAGTACACTCACCCTCCAGCGCCCCCAGGGATGTGGGCCTGACCCTCCCAGTTAGAGGGACCCCCCGCCCTGCAGGGCCTTGCAGGAAAGGTGAGTGGTTGGACAGGCTGCAAGGCCATGGGCTGAGTGAAGACTGGGGACTAGTGTGGCCGTGGTGTTGTGGGGAGCTGCCTGGCCGGCTGGGCCCACAGCTGTGCAAGGGTGCACGTGCACATATACACACATGGACACACAGAGCTGGACATTTGGGGGATTCTGACCAGAATGGGTAAAAGTAGCCCCAGCCCAAATCCGTACCAAGTCCACCACTGCCCAGCAACCCTGCAAGACAGAGCGGTGCTGCCCGGGGAGTGGGGGGAGCTCAAAGACTGGGTGCAAGCTCACAAGCCAATCATTCATTTCACTTGACCATTCACATACCTGCTGTTTGATACCATTAATTCTAACACTCACAGCTCTTCCCACTTCGCCTCTGCGAGTCTCACCCCAACTAATCCTCCATCCTACCCCTTCCTGCCTTCGGGGCTTCATCCTTGGGTAGCTGGACACCGTAAGGAGTGAGTGCTTCCTTAATGCTAACTGGCCATCTTGGGTTGTACGCCGTCAGGACAGAGCTGACCCACAGCTGACCCTCCAGGGGGTTTTCGGAGGCTGTAAAGTGCATAGGAGGAGACTGCCCATCTTCATCTCATGGAGCAGCCAGTGGATTCAAACTGCTTACCTTCGGGTTGATGTGCAACTCCGTCCCAACCACACCAAAAGAGCCCCGTGAACCACATACAACTCTGAACAGATCTGAGCCCTGGGCTGCCACGTGCCGTCCTCATCACCTCTGACGCTGCAGTCACAGAATCAATCCTCCTCCACCACCCCTCCACCTGGCCAAGTGGCACTGTCCCTTTCCAAGGAATAGCCCCTCCTAGCAACACGTCCGAAGTAGGAGACCTTATAGACTGTTGTTTGGCTGAAAGTTGAGCTTCACAGGTGAGTTGAGTTGTTGTCCAACCTCAGAGAGTGACGAGGTTTCAGGACTCAGCCTCTTTTGGTTTCCAGTTTTGTCCCACATGTCTCCCCACTCTGTCTAGGATAAAGCTGGATAAACTGTTACATCTCTACAGCAGAGCAGCTGCTGAATTTGGCCTGCCAACCCTTTGGTCACAATGGAATACTTAATAACTGCACCACCAGGCTCACCCCTGTAACCGTTAATGAACTTTATGCTGTACACATCTGCTTACTTGAGTAACTTCACATAAGTGGACTATGTTGTTGTTGTCATGTGCCACTGAGTCGCCTGCAACTCATAGTGACCCTCTGTACAACAGCCCTGAAGCCTGCCCTGTCCTGAGCCGGTCTCACTGATTCCGACACACCTACACCCGTTACCCTAGTTACTGTATCAATCCATCTCATCCAGGGTCTTCCACTCCTGCGCTGTCCCTCCCTCCTGGTCACAGGTGCAAAGTATGTGAGACAGAGCTTCAAAATCCTTGCCTCCAAAGAGAGACTTTGTTTCACGTTGTATAAATATCTGCCTTTTTGGTCTCACTGTCTTGGCTTCGGGTCTTCACAGCTGACCATGTCAGGACATGTGTCAGCACACCTTTCTCCTTCTGACTGAAAATCCTATGGTCTGTGCAGACCAGGGAGCTCTGGTGGCCTAGTCCACGGGGTGGGGGGCACGGCTGACCTGAAGCCCTGATTCTCTGGCAGTTAGTTCTAATCCCCTAGCGGCTCCAGGGGAGAAGGACGGGCATTCTTTTCTGCAATTTACAGCCTCTGAAACCTTCTGGAGGGTCAGCTACGAGTCAGTTTTGCCTAATGGCAGTGAGGGTTAGAATCTGGAAAGCCTCCATAAACAGCAGGCATCATCTTTCTCCCTCTACGATTGTTGTTGTTATGTGCCATCGAGCAGCTTGCGACTCATAGCGACCCCATGTACAACAGCCCTAAACTCCGCTCTGTCTTGTGCCAATCGCACTGCCTCTGACACACCCATCCCAATTACCCCAGTCACTGAATCAATCCACCTCATAGAGGGTCTTCCCCTCCTGCACTGTCCCTCCACCCTCCCAAGCATGATGTCCCTCTCCAAGGACTGGTCTCTCCTTACAACATGTCCAAAGTATGTCAGACAAAGCTTCAGAATCCTTGCCTCCAAGGAGCCGCCCGGTTTAACCCTTTCCAGGATGAACTTTTCCTAGCAGTCCATGGTATTCTCAATACTCTTCTCCAGCACCACAGCTCAAAGGCATCAATTCTCCTTCTATCCTCCCTAGTCATTGTCCAACTCTCTGTTCTTCCTAACCCATGTGAGTGACCTCTGCCAGTCATTTTAACTGGTACCATAGTTCTACATGTGAATAAACTACAGGTGATTTTTTGAGTTCTTGACTCCCCACCCCCCGCCCCAAGAAAAAGAACTAGAATCATTCACACACAGGGTTGCTAAGACTCAGAACCCGCTTAGCAGCACCTAACAGGAGTCTTTATGGCAGGGGATGGTGGACCTTTCTCCCATGTGCCCTGTGGCCTTGGTGGAGTGAGGGCAGCTCAGTGAGGCCCTGCAGGCTGGTGCTTCGGCGACTGTGCAGCTGATGCCCCCTAAGACCCAAGGAGGGGACAGAGGTGCGGGAGGTCGTACCGATGAGCATCACCACCAGGTTGGCGGCGCCGTACTTCTCGATCTCGCAGATCCAGTGCGGCACGGACTCAAAGGTGGACCGCCGCGTTATGTCATAGGCGATGATGGCGGCGTGGGCGCTGCGGTAGTAGCTCTGGGTGATGGTCCGGAAGCGCTCCTGGCCTGCCGTGTCCCACACCTGCATCTGAAGAGGGGAGGAGGCACATAGGAACCAGCCCTGAGGACAGTGTCACTCTGGGTTCCTTAACACTCAGTCCCCAGGAGGACAGGCAACCACCTGGCGGGCGATATACCACTTCTGAAAGCCTGCTGGTGGGTCAGCTCTGACTCGATTGTGCACAGCAGCAGCAACAACAACAACAGTGTAAGATTGTAAGGTCACAGACTTGAGAAAGGGGCCAGAGAGCAAGAAAGCTTCAAAGTAGCTTTATTAAGGGAGCTCCCAGGCGAGCTTCCTTGGTCTGGAAAGGGAGGCTGAGGAAGTTGCGCTTAGGGTGTATTTGGGCGGGGGTTTTTATAGCCTTTCAGGGCGGGGAAGGGTTGGGAGGGACATTCCATTATGGTTTAAGGTTCTGCTATGTGGGTGAGGCCATCATATTCTTTTGATTCCTTATTCTCCCTTGGCCTTTGTTTTGCCCAACAAACAACAATGGTACTAGCCCGAGAGCATTTATCCCGGCTTCACAGGACCACACTCCACACTGGGCACCACCATGGACCCAATGCAACCCTGTTCATTTCTCATGATGTAAATTCCCCTGATGTTCAGTGTGATTCCTGTCAGTTTTTCACTCTTTCTGCAAACACTTATCTGAGGGATTCTCCCTCCTTGGTTTGAACCCCAGAAGGCCCTAATCTTGATCTCGAGTGGAGCTCTGTCCCAGGAGAGAAAGCCAAACCCACTGTCAGTGAGTCCAGTCCCACCCAGGAGACCCTCCATGGGACTTCAAAGCTGGGAATCTTCAAGGGAAGAGATCGTCCATCTTTCTTCCACCAAGCAGCTGCTGGATTTGAACCAATGACCTTCCAACTAGCAGCCCAACACATAACACCACACACTGGGGAGCAGACACAGAAATGATCACAGCACAGAGAAGGACACCTGAGATGATAACATCAACAAACCTGAAAGCCCCAGGGCAGAAGGTGCAGCTGTGCAGACCCCAGGTTCAACCTGTCCCCCAAAACCAAGAACAGTCAAATACACATCTCTTCTCTGGAGCCACTGCCCTGTGGCTCTGTGCTGTGGTCACCCTAGGAAGCTGAGGACTCTCCTTTCCCTGTTATCTTCTGAAGCTCAGATGCTCTGACCCATTTCTGTGCATCCTTCTTCCATAAGGCGTGTGAGAGTGGGAGTGTGAGGGTATAACTTGGGGAGTGTGTGTGTGTGGTATGAATGTGTAAACGGGAGTGCAAATGTGTGGGTGTGAGTGTGTGAGTGCATGTGTGAGTATGTGTACGAGTGGGTGTGAGAATGCGTGTGAGTTCAAGTGAGTACGTGTGTGTGTGTGTGTGTAGTGTGTGTAGGTGTGAGTCCATGTGTGTAGGTATGAATGCACGTGTGGTATGACTGTGGGTGTGAGTACATTCATGTGGGTGTTAGTGTGTTGTGTGTATAGGTGCGAGTGCACGTGTGTGGGTGTGTAGGTGTGAGTGCACATGTGTGGCATGAATGTGTGTGACTGTGCATGTGGGTGTGAGTACACGAGTGGATGTGAGCACGTGTGTGACTGTGAGTGCACATGTGTGCTATGAGTGTGTATGTGTGAGTGTGTGTGTGGGTGTGAGTACTTGCGTGTGGCTGCGAGGGTGTAAGGGCACGTGTGGGTGTGAGCGGGTGTGTGGATGTGAGCACACGTGTGGGTGTGGGTACATAGGTGTGGGGGGCACCCCCACCCACCCTACTCACCTTCACTTTCTTGCCCTCGATCTCCAGGGAGCGCACGGTGAAGTCCACCCCGATGGTGTTCTGCTGGGTCTCCATGTAGACCCCTGACTTGAAATGCTGCACCACGCACGTCTTGCCCACGTTGGAGTCCCCGATGAGGATGATCTTGAAGAGATAGTCGAAGTTCTCGTCTGCTGCCCTGGCTGTGGTGGAGAAGGGCATGGCTCTGACCACCTGAAGCATGCGGGAGGGACAGGAGATAGATGCCAGTGTCACTTGGTGAGGTCCAGGGATGGGGGTAGGATAAGACCATGTGCGCTGTGGCCACTGTGGCACTGATCACAGGCACTGGTCATTGGCCACCTGGATTGTTGCCTGTGCCCAGTCCACACCTGCCCTGGGCGGGCTGTTATTGTCCAGAGGGATAAGGACACTGGAGCTGCAGTGGCAGGACCCTCCCCGTCCACACCTGAGAACCAAGTTCAGTTCCCACCAGTGCTCCTCAAGCTGGACCTCCACCATCTGACCGTCATGAAGGCTCGTGTCATGGACCTCCACCATCTCACCGTCATGGAGGCCCGTGTCATGGACCTCCACCATCTGACCATCATGGAGGCCCGTGTCATGGACCTCCACCATCCGACCATCATGGAGGCTCGTGTCATGGACCTCCACCATCTGTCTGTCATGGAGGTGCTGAACAGGGAGCCAGCAGAGCTTCCAGACTAAGGAGGATGAGGAAGAAAGGGCTGGCAATCTCCTACAAGCCAGCCCAAGAGAACTCTCCCAGGTCTGGCCTGTCACCAGTCGGGACAGCAGCGGGCTAGGCAGCCTCTCGTCCTGCTGTATGAGGGGTTGTCACGTGCTGGGTGCTGACTGGACACCATCTCATCACAGCTCCATTCTTGCTAGACCCAGAACGTGGCCAGCACCATCACACAGCAGCATGGACTGAGCCCCCTGTGCCCGAGGCCCGTCCAAGTGCCCAGAGCAGAGGTGGCGCCCCAGGGGACCTGCCTGAGACTGCTCCAGCTGAGGTAGTTCTGCTTGTAGGTTTAAATGGGTGTGATGGGGAGAAGGGAATGTGGGGGCGGGGGAGCATCCAGACCATCAGCAAGGACCCACACGTTTGACACAGGCATGTGGGGAGCAGTGATACGGCCCTTTAATCCGGTTAACATCTCATTTTTCTCTAACAGGAATTTAGGATTCTGAGAATATTCAAAGTAAAGTTTGTGGTTTAAGTAAATGCCTGTGGGCTTGTGGCATACTCTTTCATCTGCCAGCGACTCTTGGGCTGCAGAATAATTCACAATTTATGAAGGACACTGGCTCCCAAATGAAGGGATTATCAGAGTTTCCTGGGGGGCTGGTGAACAATATACATTCCTGGCACCCACAGAAATGCTATTATAAAAAACCAGCCCACATTTCCAGAGTGGGCAGTCTCTTCCTGTATGATTTACAGCCTCCCAGAATCTGCTGGAAGGCCAGCTGTGAGTCAGCTGTGACCTTGACAACAATGAGGTCAGTGATCTCCAAGCAGAGCCTCAGGGACAAGCAGGTGTATTCCGACTGCCAAACTTCCAGTCAACAGCTGAGTGTGTCAACCATGGCAGCACCAGTGTTCCTAAGCCCACCTCACATGCATCAATAGACCTACAAGACTAAAATTCCATGGTTCAGTGCTAAGGAGTGGCACTGCCATCCCAAAGATGCACAGTTCTAATCCACCAGCTGCTCGATGTGAGGAAGATGGGGTAATCAACTGTGTGATTTACTGACCTGCTGATGGGTCAGCTGTGAGTCTGTTCTGACTCAATGGTGCATAACAAGAAGCAGCTCTTGTCAGAGCTGTTGTCACCAGTTATAAGGCTCTCAGTCCATGGTTTCATCTGAGTCCTGCTTTCCTTGCCACAGGCTTTTTACAGGTGATTTTTTAACGTAGGTGATCACTAGCCAAAAGGTTGGCAGTTGGAATTTACCAGATGCTCTGTGGGAGAAAGATGGGCAGTTTTCCTCCATCAAGATTTATATCCTTGGAAGCCCCATCAGGAGAGGCGCAGGAGTCACAATCGACTGGACAGTGGTAGGGTTTCTCTTCTTTCTTTAATCATCGTTCTTGATGTGTCAAGTCACCTGCAACCCATAACAACCCTGTGTGCAGCAGCTCTGAAGCCTGCCCTGTCCTGAGCCAGTCACATTCCAACACACCTACCCTCATTGCCCTAGTTACTTTATCAGTCCACCTCATCCGGGGTCTTCCTCTCCTGCGCTGTTCCTCCACCCTTCCGAGCATGATGTTCTTCTCCAAGGACTGGTTCCTCTTTGCCATGTGTCCAAAGTATGAGATGGAGCTTCAAAATCTAGCTTCCAAGGAGAAATTTGGTTTCGCCTTCTCCATGACAGATCTGCTTGTTTTCTTGGTGAGCCACAGATGGTCAAGACTCTTCTCCAGCACCACAACTCAAAGGCATCAATTCTTCTTCTTCTGTCATCCTTAGTCATTGTCCAGCTCTCCGATGCATAGTAAGTAATTGCAAAGACCATGGCCTGGAGGCACAACTTAGTCTCTAGACTGACATCCTTGCTTTTTAGCACTCTGGAAAGGTCCCTGACAGCAGATTTTCCCAGAACAATCAATCTTTTGATTTTCTGACTGCTGGTGCCGAGAGTGTTGTGGAGCCGAGCGAGCTGTAACTACTGACAACCTCAGTGTCTTCTCTGTCCATCATGGTGCTGCCAATTGGCCCAGTGGTGAGAATCTTTGTTTTCTTGTTGTTGAGATTCAATCCATATTGAAGACTACAGTCCTTGACCTTTAACAGCAAGGCTTCAGGTCTTCCTCAGTTTCAGCAAGTACTTTAATTGTAGCAAGTAGTATTTGTGAACCTGTATTAGTTACTTTTCAGACCTCAGTAACAATTAAAGGAAATGAATGAAAAATGTTTTTATAAATGGCAACTGTTCTGTTACTAATAATGTAATTCAGTGTAGAACCACCTTACAGTTTGCTGTTAGCAGTCATAGACTCTGAACTATGTTACATTTAAGCAGTTTACAAGTAGGTACCTTGTCACATGATCAAAGTTGGTTCTAAACATTAAGGATTCCATGTAGTGTGCTGGGAGCATGGGTTGGGAACACCATGAGTTGCTGCACTGGGTGATACTGGTCCTAGTGACACTGCTGGCCGGCCCCCAGATAATGTCCCTCAGCCCTCTTCTTGTGACATCACTGAATATCTCATGCAAACCCAGGAAGCCAGACAGGATGGGCAGTGTCGGCCTGCGGATCTCCTTGCCCACCACCTCTCTCTACCCTCCAGTGCCCTCAAGTCTTGGGAAAGGACCAGTCTGTGTCCTCAAGCACAGAAAGTCCTCATCCACAAACACATTCAGTGTATGGGGAAAACTGGGGCTCACCACCACGACACAACCAAAAACTGAACCCACTGCTGTGCGTGGCTTCTAGAGTGGACCCGAAGTGCCCCGTGGGATGCCCAAGGCTGTAGCCTTTATGGACGCAGACAGCTGCAGAGTGGCTGGTGGGTCCAAAGTGCCGAGCTTTCAGTCGGCTTCCTAGCACTTTAACCACTGCTCCACCAGGGCCCCCTAGTGCAGGCCCCAAGCCCAGCCCAGCCCTCTGCTGTGGAGTGGATTCTGACTCAGGACAGAGCAGCGACAGAGCGGCACTGCCCCACAGGGTTGCCAGGCTGTGACTGCGGAAGCTGCTTCAACCGACCCCTGGGGACAGGCTTGTTGTCTGAACGCAGCACCAGCTAAGTCACCAGGCGGCAGGGGAGGGCCAGAGCCTACTGTCCACCGAGCCAGCTCCTTCCCTCACTCAAGTGAAGAGAGTGGGGTACTTCCGGCGGTGAGCCTCGGAACCCCAGCCGAGCTGGACTTTCTGCCTCTCACCCCCACCCTCGCCCACCTGGACCCTGAGGGGGTTTGCTCAGACCTTCTCCCCAGGCCCAGCCCCCACCCCCCCACGTACCCCATTCGCAGCCTGGCCCACCTGTTGCTCACCTGCGGGCTGCCGCACCCCTGCCCCCAGGTAGCAGTGCTCTTTGTCTCCTTCTCCTTTACAGCCCCTTCTTCCTCCTGCCTCGAGGCGTGGTGGGAACTGTAGTTCTGGCCCCAGGTGTCACCCTGGGCCGCCTGAGAAAGTGAAAGGAAAGCACCAGCCCTGCACCTGCGGGCCCTAGAACTGCCCAGCGCACAAGGAACCAGGTGTGCTGCAGGCTTGCAGGGCACCCCCAGGCTGGTCGGGTGCCATGAATCGGCACCAGCTCACAGCAACTCCAGGTGCCACAGAAGCAAACCGCCCGGTCCTGCCTTCTCAGTGTCTGCGGTGCGAAACCACAGTTACACTTACTGTGTCATCCTCCTCATTCAAGGTCTTCCTCTCTCTGCTTTTCTAAAACAATGTCTTTCTCCGAGGATTGGCCCCTTTGACATCATATCCAAGAACGTGAGACGGTCTCACCACCTTTGTTTCTAAGCAGCACGCTGGCTGTACTCCTAACAACGCAGATGGGCTTTGGCACTCCAGGGCACAGCAGTGCTCTTCGCCAACAGCACTATTCAAAAGCACCAATTCTTCAGTCTTCTCTGCTCATTGTCCACCTTTCACAAGCATATGAAGCAATTGAAAATGCCATGGTTTGTCAGGTGCACCTTAATCTTTAAAGTGACATCCTTGCCTTTCAGCACTTTAAAGAGGTCCTTGGCAGCAAATATGCCATTAGCGAGGAGCAGGACCCTCAACTTTGACCTCGCTTGGCCCTTCCTGCTCCCCTCTCTTCAGCATTCCTGCCCCTAAATTTGCCCCGTTGTCTGGACTGGGGGTGGTGTGGGGAGAACAGTGATTCAAGGATTTGTGTCTGGGACTAAGTAGTTGCTTTGTGGGTGGGAACAACTCTTTTTGGAGAGCCATGGAGAGGGTGGAAGTGGTCCAGTGGGGGGAGGTTCTGTTCACATGCTCAAACCTACCAGAGAGCAAGCAGCAGGCAGAATTCAGGGCTGGGGAGCTGGAGTTTGTCACCCTGATGCGAACAGGGAATCATTTCCATGTTCTCCTCACCATATGCCCAGCAGGGCTTCCTCATTGCCTCTCATCGCTCAGAGATTTTCTCTACCACATGGGATGTGGTGTGCACCTGGCTAAGCAGCTCTCTAGGTGAATAAGTAAAACAGTAACAGAAATATTGATCAAAT